ATTATTCATTAGAGTGAAAATAAAAAAATTTATAAGATCAGTTCTAAAAAATTAAAAAGATAATAGTTTAGTTTCAAAAGTTTAAAAATTTTAAAAAAAATACTAAATTAAAAAGAATTAATGACTGATTTTGTTATATATAAAAAAATAATATTAAATATTTGTAATCAAATCAAGCAGTTAATTCGATTTTAAATAATTGTTTGAAATTAAAAAAAATTGATTGAATTAAAAAAAAAGTTTAAAAAACTGAAAGAATAAAACTAAAGTGGTGGAAGTTTATGCTTATAAATTTGATTTAATTGTAAATATTTAATATTTTTTCACGTTTGCGATAAAGTTATAGATTAATTCTTTTAAATTATTAATTTTTTTAATTTTTAAACTTTTGAGATAAAACTATCACTTTTTTAATTTTTGAGAATTAATCCTATAAATTTTTATTTTTATTTTATGAAAAGTTAATAGATTTTATTAGTTTAGGACCCTAAAGACTAAAATTTTTGGACTAAAAGTTCTTTAGTAATGAAGAATTAAAAGTTTTCAACTTATTAAGATAAAAAATTAAACGAATGCTTTAGCCGACATTTGGAAGATTAGAGAAATGAGAAAGAGAATGACATGTGGAGAATAGTAAAACATTTTTTATTTCTAATTTTCGAAATAAAAAATTGATGATGCCATTTACACCCGGTATGGGTTCAATCTCTCAAGTCGTGTTATAATTATACAAAGAATTATTATTTTTTGTCTTATAATAATTTTTTTTAAAATTTTCACTAAATTAAAATTTTAAGACTATTTATACATTTATTTATATTTTTTAAAGAAAAAGCTAAAATGATAAAGTAAAATTTTTTTGTAATAAAATAATAAAATAAAATAAATAAATAAATAAGAGTTAAAAAATATTTATTTACTTTAACAAATAAAAAAATAATTAATTTAAGATAAACTTAAAGTTAAAAAATGATCATTATTTAAAAAATAATATATTTAATTTATCTACTTTTATTAATTTACAACTAGTAAAGTACTTACAAACATCAATTAATAGGCTTCATACAGTTAATAATTAATAAATCTCAATTGATCTCGGCTGTCAAATAATAATTACAACTATTAATTACTTTTAATAATTAAATCAAATACGTTAATAATTTTTTTAAAACAAAACAATTCTTTATATACCATAACTATGACCTAATCTCTTCGTTCCAATCATTTGTTCCGCATACCATTACCCTTATCAATTTTCTTGGGAATCATTACACTTCTCTTATTCCTAATAAGGAAATCATTGGTATAAATAAAATTTCATAAATGGGTCTTTCAGTACACTTTATATATTAAAAAGTGTAGTTTAGGTTATACATTTATTAAAGTATCTTTAATGAAAGTCTCCTCGTGTATTAACTTATTAATTATATTTTAATAACTTTAATACTTAAATTGTATTTTTAATATGAAGTTCATATTAAAAAAAAGTAGATTTCTCATAAAATTCATAAAATAAGAGAAACAAAAATTATAATATTATATCCATGTCCTTTTAAGCGAATTCTTATGGATGATTTCATCCCTTAGAGATCCAATTATATCATGAATACTAACACCTTCACCTCTTTGTAAAAGAATTTTTTAGCAGATTAAAAGACTCGTTTTAATTTTATTTTATTAAAAAAAAAAA